CCCCCCCGCTCGTACCCGGCAGTCGTAGAGCGCCGTGAGCTGCCCCAGGATCCATTCCTCCAGGTGCAGCCGTTTCCGCAGCTCCCTGCGGTCGTACCGCACCGTCACCTTCCCTCCTCTCCGCGCTCCCGCCGCCTCTTCCGCCCCGACCGCCGCTCCGTCCGCTCCCTCCGGTCCCGTTGCGAAGCAAACCCGCGGTCCCGGCGCTGAGCTCGGCCCCGGCCCGGCGGGGGGAGGCGGCGGCGCTGGAGGGCCCGGGTGGCCGCACGGCGCCGCCATGCCCTGCCCTGCCGGACCGGAACCGGAAGCCGCCCTTCCGGAAACGGAAACGGCTTTGTGTGGAGAAAAGGCGGCGTGCCTCGCTCGGTTAAAGCGGCGATGTGATTGATGGGGCCGATGCTCTCTTAAAGCGGCGATGCGGAGGTAAAGAGCTGAAACTGCCAGCACGGAGCCACGCCTCCACCCGGTGAGACCACGCCCCCTTAAAGCGGCGATGCAGGTTGTGGGACCATCCGAGAGGCTTTAAAGCGGCAACGCCGAGCTGAGAAAAAGCTCATTCTGTGTGGCCACGCCCAGTTTACGTGAGGCCACGCCCTCTGCAGTTAAAACACGCCTCCTTAAAGCGGCGATGGGCGTGGTGGGGTCCACCCTTTCGTTTGAGACCTTCGGGACAGCTGTTAGACCGCGTCTTTTTAAAGGGGCGATGAGTTGGGTGGGACCCACCTATTGGACTTTCGACCCCAATGAAACCACGCCGCCCTCCTTGAGACCACGCCCCTTCGGAGGAGACCTCGCTCACTTAAAGCGGCGATGCAGCGAGCTGGGACCACTCTCGGTTTATAACGGCCGCACGTGGCTCAGACCACGGTTCCTTCCATAAGACAGCGCCCATTCACCCCCGACTCCCTCCATTCAAATCCCTCCATTCAAATCTTTGGGACCACACCCATTTCCGGATACCTCGAGGCCACGCCCCCTTTCCACGAGGCCACGCCCTTTTACAAAACGAGACCCCGCCCCCTCCCTTCATACCGCCATTCACTTTGGACACGCCCATTTCCGCACCAGGCCACGCCCACTCAGCCCTCTATGCACGTCCGCGCATGCGCGCCGCTCTCATCCCCGCCCCTTTCCGCCTTTCCACCAATCGGCGCGCGCTTCTCTCCGCCGGCCCCTCCCCCTTTCCCACGGTTCCACCAATCGCCTCGCGGCTCTCCTCTGTAGCCCCGCCCCCCCGCCCCGGCCCGCCCCGGTGCAATCATGGCGGCGCCGCGCCCGGTCCCGGTTCCGCTCCCGTTGGAGCCGCCGCGGGTCCCCGCCATGTTGGTGCAGGGCAGCAAATTCATCCGCTGGGACGAGGTGAGGAGGGACCCCGGGGGGAACCCCAAAATGCCCTGAAATGGCCCCAAACTGACCCCAAATGCCCTGAAATGACCCCAAAGTGGCCCTGAACTGCCCCCAAATGACCCAAAATACCCTGAAATGGCCCCAAACTGACCCTGAACTGCCCCAAAATGACCCAAAGTGGCCCTGAACTGCCCCAAACTGACCCCAAATGTCCTGAAATGGCCCCAAAGTGGCACTAAACTGACCCAAACTGACCTAAAATGCCCTGAAATGGCCCCAAAACTGCCCCCAAACTGACCCAAACTGACTCAAAATGCCCTGAAATGGCCCCAAAGTGACCCTAAAATACCCAAAATGCCCTGAAATGGCCCCAAACTGACCCCAAATGCCCTGAAATGACCCCAAAGTGGCCCTGAACTGCCCCCAAATGACCCAAAATGCCCTGAAATGGCCCCAAAGTGGCACTAAACTGACCCAAACCGACTCAAAATGCCCTGAAATGGCCCTAAAATTGCCCCAAAATGGCCCTAAAATGCCCCAAAATGCCCTGAAATGGCACCAAAGTGGCCCTAAACTGACCCAAAATGCCCTGAAATGGCCCCAAAGTGGCCCCAAATGACCCAAAATGCCCTGAAATGGCCCCAAAGTGGCCCTGAACTGACCCAAACTGACCCAAAATGCCCTGAAATGGCTCCAAAACTGCCTCAGACTGACCCAAAATGCCCTGAAATGGCCTCAAAATGGCCCTAAAGTGACCCAAAATGCCCTAAAATGACCCAAAATGGCACCAAAGTGGACCCAAACTGACCCCAAATGCCCTGAAATGGCCCCAAAGTGGCCCTGAACTGACCCAAACTGACCCAAAATGCCCTGAAATGGCCTCAAAATGGCGCCAAAATGACCCAAAATGCCCTAAAAGGCCCTGAAATGGCACCAAAGTGGCCCTAAACTGACCCAAAATGACCCAAAGTTGCCCTGAAATGGCCCCAAAGTGTCCCCAAAATGACCCTGAATGTGCTGAAATGGCCCCAAACTGCCCCAAATTGACCCTAAATGTCCTGAAATGGCCCCCAAATGGCCCTAAACTGACCCAAAATGCCCTGAAATGGCCCCAAAGTGGCCCTAAACTGACCCAAACTGACCCAAAATGTCCTGAAATTGCCCCAAAGAGGCACTAAACTGTCAGAAACTGACACAAAATGCCTTGAAGTGATCCCAAAGTGGCACTAAACTGACCCCAAATGCCCCAAAATGTGCTGAAATAACCCCAAAATTGCCCCAAACTGCCCCAAAATGTCCTGAAATGGCCCCCCGATGGCCCTAAACTGACCCAAAATGACCCAAAATGCCTTGAAATGGCCCCAAGGTGGCCCCATACTGACCCCAAATGCCCTGAAATGGCCTGAAGTGGCCCCAAACTGACCCAAAATGTGCTGAAATGGCCCCAAAATGACCCCAAACTGACCCAAAATGTGCTGAAATAACCCCAAAATTGCCCCAAAATGACCCAAAATGTGCTGAAATGGCCCCAAAATTGCCCCAAACTGACCCAAAATGTCCTGAAATGGCCCCAAAGTGGCCCAGATCTCACCCAAACTGACCCAAAATGCCCTGAAATGGTCCCAAAATGGCACTAAACTGCCCCAAACTGACCCCAAATGTCCTGAAATGGCCCCAAATTGGCCTTAAACTAACCCAAAATGTCCATAAATGACCCCAAAATGACCCTAAACTGCCCCAAACTGACCCAAAATGCCCTGAAATGGCCCCAAAGTGGCACTAAACTGACCCAAAATGCCCCAAAACTACCTAAAAACAGCCCCAAATTGACCCTAAACTGACCCAAACTGCCCTAAAATCCCCTGAAATTGCACCAAAGTGGCCCTAAACTGACCCAAACTGTCTCAAAATGTCCAGAAATGGCCCCAAAGTGGCCCTAAAGTGACCCCAAATGTCCTGAAATTGCCCCAAAGTGGCACTAAACTGTCAGAAACTGACCCCAAATGCCCTGAAAGTGTCCCAAGTTGGCCTTAAGCTGCCCTCAAATGGCCCCAAAGTGACCCAAAACCGACCCAAACTGCCCTAAAATGCCCTGAAATGGCCTCAAAATGGCCCTAAACTGACCCCAAATGCCCTGAAATGGCCTCAAAATGGCCCTAAACTGACCCCAAATGTCCAGAAATTGCCTCAAAGTGGACTTAAACTGCCCCAAAATGCCCTGAAATGGCCCCAAAGTGACCCTAAACTGACCCAAAATGCTCACAAA